TATTTTGCCATATTTTGAAACGTGATATTTTCATAACATTTATAAAAATGTGATATTTAGTATACTTTCTTACCCAAATCTATAACCTTTATTTCCAGCGTATACAAGAGGAGATAAAAAATTTAGTGAAATTACAGACGAGTAATGCTTCCTGGGCTTCCTATGATAGAAGTTCTTTATGCAAACAAGTATCTTCAGAAAGTCAAATGGGTTTTTTTCCTGAAAACAGTGAGAGAAATGAATCTGTTATCAGTTACCCTAAATCTAAAGAACCTGAAATGCATCAAGAAACGTCCTCATCGCAACCAGACTGTAACATGGACAGTAGCTCAGTGAGCAGTGGGTATGGTACCTTTTGTGTCTCAGAGTTAAATACATACAAACTTAAAGACTCTGAAGAGTTCATGGAACACACTGATGTTTCCAAAGGACAGTACGTAGCACCTGTGGTGCAGCCTGATTCGCTTGTAGACGGTGTAAAAAACAAGGGTTTTTATATACAGACTACCGAAGAGTTTGGTCCATCTTTAAAGGAAGATATTTCCATTTTTCCTGGTGAATTTGAACATAATTTACTTGACGAAAATAAGATTTCTGAAGTATACAGTGGAAAAACAAATAGGTAAGTAGAATTTCTCCACTGAAGGGAGTTTTATTTGTTTATTACCTTTTTTTTTTTTTTTTTGAGACAGTCTTTCGCTCTGTTGCCTGGGCTAGAATGCAGTGGCGCCATCATAGTTCACTGCGGCCTCAAATGCCTGGGCTCCCAAAGTGCTAGGATTATAGGCATGAGCCACTGTGCCTGGCCTGTTTATGACATTTATAATCTAGTAAATAGAATTCTTTTTAGTTGGACTAGAATAGAATGAGATGTATTTGAACATTTATCAGTTTTACTGTCAAATCGAAGTCTTGACCAGGCACGGTAACAACGAGATGAGACTCCCCCCACCCCATGTCTAACAGAAAAAAAGAAAAAAATAAAGTCTTTTGCGGGACATAGTGGCATGCGCCTGTAGTCCCAGCTACTCAGGGCCTGAGGCAGGAAGATTGCTGAAGCCCAGGAGTTTGAGACCAGTCTGGGCAATAGTGTGAGACCCTGCCTCAAAAAAAAAAAAAAAAAAAGTCTTTTATTTGTTGCCTGTAGAAAATTGAAATAAACAAAGCACACTATATACTGAGGACGAATGACTTTCTTCCCATTAGCAATGTTGCAAGACTACTAAACTCTTAAAGGAAGCCTTGCCAGAAAAATGCCTTTACTTTCTAGTCATTGTAGACCTGCCAAAAGTTAGAGGACAGGACTGTATCAATAGTGGAATTTTGTCACACATGTTCATGTGATTTGTAACCAAAAATTATATACAGGCATACCCAATTTTATGTT